CTCTCTTTCTCTCTCTCTCTCCTGGAGGAGGAGAAGGTGGAGGAGGAGGAGAGAAGAGGAGGTGGGGGAGGGAGGAAGTAGAGGAGGGCGCCTCTACCTCCTCTACCTCACCACTCCCCCCTCCTCCTCCTCCTCCTCCTCCACCTTCTCCTCCTCCAGGAGAGAGAGAGAGAGAGAGAGAGAGAGAGAGAAAGAGGTGAGAGAAGGTGGAGGGGAGCGAGCTAGCGGAAAGAGGGAGGAGGAGAAGATGTAGCAGAGGGAGGGAAGAGGGAAGAGAATGAGAAGACATAGTGAAGAGGGGGAGGAGAGCGGGAGGAAGAGAGACGTAGATGGAGAGATGGTTACGTTAATCTATACGCACCGCCATCTATTGATGAATAGAATTTTTATGAATTTTTAACTTTTTAACTTTTTTAAATTTTCAGCCAGAACCACCTCCCAGACGTGCTGATTCTGAAAATATCTTTAGTTTTCTTCTAGGCTGCGGAGTTCTCTAGTTATGCGAGTACGAACTAATTCGGCTGAACAACTTTATATATATAGACACTTTTCTACCGTCCATAGCCGTGCGTATATTAGCCTATGAGCGATACCGCACGTATATTTTTGGTAATTAATTAAACTATTCGTGCTTCAATAAACTCAAAATTCACGGATACCATAGCTAAAACATGTGTTTATATGTATTTAGAATATTAGAAATGTAACTCAATTCGTTCGCTAGATATTAGAGTTAGTACACTTTCCTACGGGCCATGGTGGTGGTTAGGTGAGGGGGGTGTTAACGGCTATTTACAATGCGCCAGCGTGCTCAATAGGAGCGGTGGCCGTTGGGGGGTTCGGAATCGGCGGCCGCCATATGCGCCCGAGGCTACGTTATCGCTCCACGTACGTAGGTCAAAGGTTGCCCACTGCGCGCGGAAAACCATGTTTCTGCAAACTACTTGTATCGTTCGCTGACCAACTACTAGTATGGTTTCTCAACTTCTTTATACTTCTCAATTAGTGTAGGGGGAATTGTGGTTCGGTGGCGCACGCACCTGTTGTTAGGAAATATGTACACGTGTTTCTGTAAAGGAAGATAAGGTTTTTCTAAATAACGTGTTGGTGGCGTTACAATGTGTATAGTTGGCGAAAATACGGTGTGTGTTTGTAAACCGACATATGGTTTGACTAAATTGACAAACCGTACACCATATTACAGACGCCATTTCTTCTGCCCGCTTGTTTTATTTCTTGATGTGTTTATGTGACTCATTCGTTAACGTCCAATCATAGTCCAACTAACTGCCCGCGGCGAAGCAGCAACAGCTGCTACAGGGACACGCCCCCACGGACATCTATCTATCTCTCTCTCTCTCTCTCTCTCTCTCTCTCTCTCTCTCTCTCTCTTTCTCAGTCTTTCTCTGTCTTTCTCTGTCTCTCTCTGTCTCTCTCTCTCTCTTTCTCTCTCTCTTTCTCTCTCGATTTCTC